CCCCCCCCCCCCCCCCCCAGCTTCCTCCTCTTCCTCTTCCTCCTCCTTCCCCTTTCCTCTGCCCCCGGGCCACGACTCGCCCTCCACTCATCCGGCCGAGATTGGAGCTCCCCAAGTTACTCTGCCAGGGAGGGAAGAGGGGCTGGAAGGCCCAGTTTTGCCGGGTCTCACCTTTCTGCGCTTCGCGATCGTTGTGCTCCTTGCTGCCCAGCCTTTCCCGTACCCTCGCACTCTTCGCTCTCACTGCCCGGCCCCTCACTCTCCCTTCCTTACCCCCTCCCCCAACTACTCCCAACTCCTTGGGGCTGCAGGGGTATTTGGGGGCAAGGAGGCTAGGTTTCTTTCTCCTTGGGTTTACGGCAGAGGATGTGATTGTTTTGTTTTTTTTTTTCTTGTCCTTTTCCCTTTCAAGATTTAAAGTACAACACGTCTGAGCCCAGCCACGGGCTGACGGAAGGCACGGGACTGCCCAAAGTTTGTGGGAAGAGAGCAGCCACCTGCTTTGTGGATGTCCCCGCAGGGAGCAGAAGAGCTGGGCGGGAAAGTCGACCAAATTGTCTCTGCTCAAAGAGTCTGCAGCCCTATAAAACCTTTTGGGATTGGAATCATGCCACTGGTTTTTGCCACATGATAATAGCAGCTATTTGAGACTCAAGCCTTCTCCCCATTGGGTTGTTGCTATTTTTTTCCAGCAACTCCTTCCTCCTCCCAGTGGGACCAAAGGACCAGTTTCCAGGGGACGGGGCCAGGTGCTGAGACAACATGGACAAATACGAAGACTTGGGCCTTGAGGCCAGTAAATTTATTGAGGACCTCAACATGTATGAGGCATCTAAGGATGGCCTGTTCCGAGTGGACAAAGGAGCCAGCAACAACCCTGAGTTTGAGGAGACCAGGAGGGTGTTTGCCACCAAGATGGCTAAGATCCACCTTCAGAAGCAACAGCAGTTGCTGCAGGAAGACCTGTTGCAGGGGAGTGGTGGCTCCCTCAATGGAGGTGGCCGGCTAGCCCCCCAGATCCCCCCTGCAGGACCCTTCACTCACCGGGAGGCAGGGGGGAGCACTAAGCTATCCCTGGGGGATGGAGCTGCTAAACCCCCTCTTGCTTCACAGTCCTTGGCATCTGGGGCTGGGCCAGTAGCACCAGGCCCTGTGAGTCAGCTGGCCTTTCAAAGTCAGTCACACTCATCTCTGCCACAGGGTCAGCGGGCCAGGTTGCAGCCTGAGGGCCAGAAGAGAGCTAGCCAGGACTTTAGTTATGGAAATGGTACTGGGAATTCCTCGGCCTCTGGTTTGCAGGGGCTAGATTCCAGGGGCACTAGTGGTATCGGCCCTACTCAGGGGGCTTTCTCTTCCCTTTCTCATGGAGATTACTATGACAACTATCCTGAGCAGAAGTGGGCAGAGGAGCCCACCCAGTTCACCAGTATCCGACCAAGCATGGGGAGCTCTTGGCCAGGCTCCAAAACCCCAACTGACCCTCACCTGTACCAGTGCCAGCCATCACCAAACTCTTGCAGGTCTTTTGAGAGTGGATATAATAGCCAGGATGGCAGTGGAAGTGAGGGCCACCAGCTCAGTCGGGACTCTGAAATGAAGCCAACCGGCCAACAGCGGTCATCTTCCTTCTCCCACACACTCAATTCTAGAGCTCCTCCCCCACCCCCAGAAATAGCGGCCCCCTTGGCCCTGCCACAGCAGAGGTCATCTTCATTCTCAGCACCGTCCACCCTAGCTGCTTCAGGTACTGCACCTCAGGGAGATCCGTCCAAAAAAAGTGCTGGGGTAGAAAGGGATGTTTCTAGTGGTATGTCCAAACCCACTGAGGACTCTCAGCTCTGGTACCATGGGAGCCCCAAATCCTACATTTCAAGTTCAGTGCCTGCCCCATTGCCAACCAGCATTGACTATCAGCCCCCTGGTGCTGCTTACCCTAAGTCCATCGACCACTTAGTCCCTCATGGTCAGACTCCCCAGTCCAATTGCAAGGACTCTGGCACAAATCCCAAGCTGGCTTTCCCCAGCCTCTCTTCAGGGCCAGTGTCTGATGCTCCTGGGCCTGCTTTTAGAGAGGGGCCCAATAGCTCGCCCCCTGGCAGTGGCCAAGGGAGTGTCCATCCAGAGAACTCCAGCTCCTCCAAAGTAAAATTACCCTGTCAGACCCTCCTTCCGCTCCCAGAGCAAGGCTTGTCTGCAGTCGAATTAAAATTAGAAGCACTCGCCCAGCGCCTGGAGCAGGACATGGCTATTCATCCCAAGGCTGATTATTTTGGTAAGTTTGCTGCTTCCTGGGAGTTTTCCTAGTGAATTTGCAAGTGTAACTCACATGTCGGGATAACAGGGCCACCCTCCCCAGGGGAGAGGACCCCCACATGTGATTCTGCCCAGGGGGGTGCAGTGTATTGGGGTGTGTGCGTGTGCGTGTGTGTGTGTGTGTGTGTGTGCGCGTGTGTGTGTGTGTGTGTGTGTGTGTGTGTGTGTGTCTGCGCGCACATGCGCCCCTTCTGGCACAAAACTAGAAAGGGTACTCGGGGGCTCTATGAACCATGCAGGTGTGATTTGTAGTTGGGATACCTGAGTCCTGAGTGGAATCAGAGCCACGATCATTTTCACTCACATTAGAAAGCACCACGAAGGCTGGATTCAGGGGAGTTCATGTTCTACTTCTAAGAAATCTAAGCAAACATTCTTGGACTTGGATGGGCTAGGCCATCATGCTGTCTGGACCTCAGTTTTCCTCACTTGTAAAATGGGAGAGTTGACTTGGAGGACTTCTAACATCCCTTTGGGCTGGACCTGCAAGGTCCCTTCCAGCTCTAATTCTCTGGTCCTGTGAATCTGTTTCAGCTCTGAATTTATTATTCCATACAGATGGCTTCTAATGGACTAAGAGCCCCCTGCCAGCAATAGGAGACAGCAGGCATGCACCTGCTGGGTGAGTTGTGATGCTGTTACCCATGGTTGGCTGTCTCCTGATTCCTGTATGGGTTCTGCAAAAAAGCCAAAATGGCGGCAGAGATCTGTTTGACTGGTGGAAAAGTTGAAGCATTTCTATGGAGGGATCCTAGATTTTGAGCTGGAAAGGACCTTGGACCCAACCCCCTTATTTTATAGCTGAGAAAACCTAGGCAGAGAGAGGTTGGGTGACCTGCCCAGGATCACACAGTTAGTGTCTGAGACAAGATTCAGCCCCAGGTCAATCACTCTGTCTTGGATTCCCTAGTGCAGGGATGGGGAACCTGCAGCCTTAAGGTCACATGTGGCCTTCTAGGTCTTTAAGTGCGGTCTTTATTTTAAATCCAAATTTTATAGGACAAATCCTAAAAGGAGGATTTGTCCTGTAAAATTTGGATTCCGTCAAAATGCCGCATTTAAAGACCTAGAAAACCACATGTGGATTCAGTAAAAAAAAAAAAAAAAAAAGCTACACTTAAGGACCTCGAAGGCCACAGGTTCCCCACGCCTGCCCTAGTGGATACTCTCATGCTTGCAAATCAACCCCAAATTTGCCAAGATTGTGTTGCTCGAAATTAGAATACGTTACAGTTGACTTGTGAGTGTACTTAAAAGTGCAGGTTTTTTTTTTCTTTCTATGTTTTGGTTTTGACTCAGATGCATCTGGTTTCAGTTCCCGTTTGGGTAGGAGGGTGACTTTTTTTGGCAGGGGGGGATACTTCTTTCTCTTCAGGGGATTCTGGGAGACTGATGCTTTTTCTGAAACTGTAGATTCTTGGAGATGGAGGACAGACACTTCCTTCCTTGATCAAATTAGGTAGGGAAACCCATTGTCACGGGAAGAAGCCTCATTCCCTTAAGGAAAGTAGGGATAGGAATGGGGTTGGGGCATGGAGGTGGCCCAGCAAGAACCTTCAGGGCACTAGACTTCATTCTTCAGGCTGCTCCTGTTTATAAATCATCATCATCACCACCACCATCATTATCATCATCACAGAACAGAAATGGAGTGGAGAGCATGTTCCCATGGTGCACTCCTTGGTAACTAATTGAATTACACCCTTCTTGCCATAACCTAACAGTTACAGAACCTTTTATGTGTGTAGGTGGGTGTTTGCTTTTTTTTTTTTAAAGGGCACCTGGTGCACTGTGATAGCATGATCCTTTTCCTTTGCAAATACACCTTTTCTCTATTGCCAACTATATATTTTATGTTCATCTAATAAGCATTGAGCCAGACACTGCTAGGCTAGGGACATGATGACTGAAAAAATAAAACAAAACCAAGACCATAAAATCACCTTGAGACAGTTCATAAAGGGCAGGAATGTAAAGTTTACTTTCCATTGTATTATTTCACTTTTATTTCATTTTACTGTCAAGATCCCGCTGATATACAGTGTCACTATTCTGTATCCAGGAGTCTAAACTTACATTCTGGGTCCCCAGTAGAATTTTGCGGCAGGGATATTCCTTCTATTTGCTCATTTCAGAAACTCTTCTTGCCCTCTGCCCTGTGGGAATAAGCATTAAGCGTTACAGGGTTTCTCGGGCAGGAGATACGAATGATTTTTTTTTAAATGTGTGAGGTTATTATAAAATGGTCTTGGAGATTGGAAGGCCTGGGTTCAGATCCTGCCTCAGGCGCTTACTATGTGACACAGGGCAAGTCACTTGACGCATTTGTAAAATTAGGGGGTTGGAGTTAATGGCCTCTACAATCCTTTCCTGGGCAGCTAGATGGTGTAGTGGATAGAGTTCTGGGCCTGATTTCAAGTCCCAGCATTGACAGTTCTATCCTACTCAACAGGCATTTATTAAATGCTTACTGTATGCAAGGTGCTGCAGATATGAAGACCCAAAAAACCCAGTCCCTGTTCTTACAGGCTTTACATTTTGGTGAGGCAGCTAGGTGGAGAAGTAGAGAGGGCATTAGACCTGAGTTCAAATCCAGCCTCAGACACTTACTAGCTGTGTGACCCTGGGCAAGTCACTTCATCCTGCTTGCCTCAGTTTCCTCATCTGTAAAATGAGCTGGAGAGGGGAATGGCAAACCACTCCAGTATTTTTGCCAAGAAAAGCCCAAATGGGGTCACGAAGAGTCAGAAACAATGGAAAAACAACTCATACAACAAAAATCCCTTCCAGCTGTAAATCTGTCATCCTGCGAAAATACACTTTTAAAGACAATTAAGTTGTTTTCTAAAAAAAAAAAAGGTGAGAGAATCTGGTCACATTTGGTATTTGTGGGAGAAAAAAATTCATTCAGGGGTTGTGCTTTACTCATTACACAGTATATTCAGGAATGAAATGTGTTGTGACCACAAGAATTGCCTAAGGTGATCATTTTAATCAATCATAAATTTCCTCCTGAACAGAGGAAAAAAAGAGAATCTCAAGTTAGTGTTTCTTATTGTATGTTATCAAATGGCAGGAAATGAGGTGCTAAGGAACAAAGAATTTGCTTCCTTCTCTCCACCTCTCCACCCCAGTCCCATTCTGATTTCTCCCTTTTTTTAAGATCTACAGAGGCAGCACAGTAGGATGGAAAGAAGGATGGATATGGAGTCAGAGGACATGGGTTTGAATGTGGCTTTGCCACCCATTAGCAGTGAGACTTTGGGCAGGTCACTTAACTCCCCTAGGCCTTGGTTCCCTCCTCTGTAAAAGGGTTGGATAAGATGCCCTCTTACAGCTTGGAATCTCTGATTCTTTGGTGTTTCTGTGAATATATATAATGTCCTCATTTTATACATGAGGAAACTAAGGGCCTCACTGAGAAAGTGAGGGAGGCCACGGATTCCTGTTTCCCCTTACCCCCACTGTCTCCTCTACTTCTCCCTACCCCCTTCCCAGAATTCTCTTCTCTCCCTTCACACTGGTCCTTTTCTTTCTCAACTTAAAAGAAAAATGGCCTCCTTTGGGCAGCCCAGCTACAGTTCCCAACAAATCACTGCTTCTCTCTGGGCCTCACTTGTTTCATCTGTAAAACAAAGCGATTGGTCTTGATGATATCAGTGCTTGCCTCTTTACTCTGATCCTGTGTTATTCTGAGTCTTGGGGTCATAAACAGTTACTCACCGCACCCCCAATATCTTCAGGGCTCTTTGGACTTATGGGGGTCACTCATTCCACTTCCTCACTCGCTCTCTAGTGTGACTGTAGACCAGCTCTTCTAAGGGGAGCCGAGCTGATGCCCCCCACTTCAAGCAACATCTATGTAACTGCTGCTCAGAAATTTACTAAGCTTGACTCAAGAAGGACATTAGGATGGAGTGGGCTGGGGCTAGGGGGGAAGATGTTGTGTGGAGGGAAACCCACAGTGTTGACTGCTTGGAATGTCGAGTTTAGCCCTTGAGAAAAAAGATTGGAAGTCTGCCATGTTGGACTGGCTTGGGGTCTGGCATACCTGCGTTTCAATCCTGCTTTGGATTTAGCAGCTGCTGTAAAAACCTCCTGAAATACACCTGTGTCCCATATTGGTGGGAGGAAGGCGTCTAGCACACCTTAAAGCATTATGGGAATATGAGTTATTATAGTAAGGCAGAAGTTGGAAGTCAGGGCCAGGGCCCTTTCTGTGATCCAAACTCTGCCCCCTTTCTAGTTTTCTTTCTAAGGTTTAGACATACAGCCTTCAATTTCTAATATAGAAACCAGGTGGTGTCTGGTTATAGCAACAGAAGTCACCACAAACAGACCCCTCTAATTTTATTCCCCAGCTGGGAGAGATATGATACCAATGATTATACCGTTAACACACTGCTAATGACAAGTCACATATTCACCTATCTCTTCATTTGGAGGTATCCTGTGCTCTTTTTTGTTGGTTGTTCTGGAATTGTGATTTCATCAGGGTAAGGAACTCCTGGTGTGGAAACAAACTCTCCAGCAGTGCAGAATGGTAGCTTTCAGTAATTTACAGTGGTAGAGAGTCGCCTGGGGCATTGAGAGGTGCAGTGACTTGTTCAGAGTCACACAGCCAAGATATTTCAGAGGTGAGACTTGAACCCATTTCCCTGACTTCAAAGTTGACCCTATTCATTGGGCTACATTGTCTTTATGTCTTTATTCTAAGGAATATGGCACTTTATCTCAGTTGGGAATGAAAAGTTAAGGTGATTTTATACATTCCACTTTAACTTGAAAAAAAAAAAAGTGGCATTAGTTTGATATCTTCACAGCCTAGCGAAGCTTCCAGAATTCCAGCATGAAGAAACATCTAATAGGATCTCATTATCTACATACCATGGAAGCATTGATTTCCAGTGGCTTTAAGGCACAAGATTAAATTAGAAGAAACCAAAGTGTAAGTGAGTG